AGAGTCTTAATAGAGTCTAGTTAAGTCGACGCTATCTAGAAATAGTCTATATTTAAGTTCTATTAAGATATTTAAATATTCTTAAAATTTACGAATTTCTATTAAAGATTTATCTATTAATACTTCGTAATTATTACTTCTATTATTAATCTTCTTACGAGAATAGTTATAGATAAGAAGATAAAACTCTTCTAGTAAACTATAGAGATAGACTAAGTATTTCGTAAAATTAAGAAATACTTTATAAAAGCGCTAATATTAATATATTTCGATCTCGAGTAATAATATTATATCGAAGTCGATATATTAAAAGATATAATTAGTAAAGTACTATTATAAGCGTATAAGATATAAGCGAGGCGTATACTATAGAAATTTATAGTATTTTTCTTAAAGAAGATAACTTCTATAGAAAAGAATTATACTACTAGTAATAGTAAGATATTTATAATTATATACGCCTTTAAGATATAAAGATACTATCTTAAGACGCCTATAAGAAGTATAATTATTCTTATTAATTATACGATACTATAGAGCTTTATAATAATAAAGGTTCTAAATCGATATTAGATATACTAAATAGAGATACTAGCTATATATAACTTTAAGATTTAGTAGCGATAAAATAAGAATAATCTAGTAAATAGACTCTCTTATTAACTAGACTATATAAATAAGAAAGATCTATCGAAAGAGAATATTATAAGAGTATTACTTAAAATATAAATATCTATTATTAACGATAAGTTATAAAAATATCTATAAATTAATAATAAGATTATTATAGAAGTATTAACTTAAGTAATAGTTTAGAGTAGTAGAAATTCTACTAAAAGTAGTTATAATATTATAACTCTATTAATATTTAAAGCTAAGTTAATAGCTATTTCTAGTCTAAGTTTAAAAAAAACTACTAAGCTATATAAATATAGAAACTTACTAATAGCTAGACTATAAGAGCTTTAAGTACGGAATACCTAATATAAGAAAGCTCGCTAAAAGATAGTATCTAATAGCTATATTAAAAGAGACGAGTTTTAAGAAATTTAGACTATTAATTAGAAAAGTATAGTCTATTATAATAAAGTCG